GGGGAATGTATGGGGTAAGATGACCATTTCGAGTCATCCGCTCCAAGACGTATAACCTTTGTCCTTTGTAAACTGTGGTAATACGGCAATAGCAGTACTACAGCTAGATGACGGGACAGTAACGAAAGTAAAAACCGTGGTTCTTCAAAATCTCGAAATGGAAATGTGAGAATATCGCATCATACCCATGATCATATCGTACCCATCGTCCCCCCCCCCCCTCCAAACTTTGGTTGGATCTTTGAGTCGAGGGATCCATTGAAGCTTGCCGAATTAGAGGTCGACGATAAGGAGAGCGAAAGGGTAAACCCGAATCCCCGAATCAGACGACAACAGTGTGAAAGCCCCGCCGCCCGACCTGGACCTGACCCATCGTGCAGTTCAGTACCCCCACCGTCTTCACTCTATCAGCCTTTTGATTTCGAGACGCGACAGTTATTCAGGCGTCATCAAGGCATCGGGCAGAGGCGGCTCCGTGGACGGGGTTATTGCCAAGGGAAAGGGGAAACGGCGCGCCTGCGGTTCTTTCTGAGCGAGGAGAAGAGACAAGAGCGTGTAAGTGGATTATGAGCGGACTGAAGAAGAGACTCTAGGAGACGAGCCGACACCGCCGCCCCCTTAGGTGGTCGTGAGCTTCCGACAGATATTCAGGGACACGGGTTGGAAGAGGCGAAAATTTTCACGCAGCGGGTAAGGTGAGAGGGCTTTTGGACCGAGGACCGCGAGGCGGGATAGAGGTGGAGGAGGGGAGGGGCACCGCAGGATGTGGGGGTTAAAGGGGTGCAGGATTAAGACAAGGGTGTCTCGTGTGTCCTAGGGTGCGTGTCCAGCGCCGATATGGTTTGAGGAGGGCGGCCACCCTTCTGCCAGGTCGGCGCCGAACGGCCAGGTCAAAAGTCCCCGTAAACAACGCGAGGTGGAGAAGAGGGGGGGGGGGGTGCAGGGAAGACCAAAGTCACGCCAATAAAGAAGCGACAGTGCAAAGGTGCATTCCTACGGGTACGGAATGTTAAAAGACACACTGAGGTGGCGATGGTACCAGAGTGTGCCCGAAGAAGAAGGAGGAGGAGGAAAACTTCTACTTATAGAAGGAGGAGAGGAGGACAAGGAAGCGGTTTGGAGAACACACGAGGAAGGGGGTGTAGAAGGCCAGCAAACCGGCCGCTAGCCAACCAACCAGAAGAGAGGGACCCGATGGTGGGGACCCGGAGGGAGGGGGGGGGGGGTCGAGAATGGTTACACAACGAGGGGAGCGGGCCGGCAGGGGCGGGCAGGGCGGCCGGCTGGCCCCGGTGAGGACGCTCGTCCGCGGCACGGCCCCTGCTCCTATAGCGGCTGCAGTACCGAACCGACGCCGTGCCACGCCGCGCCCCGCCCGTACGCGAGTAAGGCGATCCACACCGCGTCGCAGACCAGACCGCCTGGGGGGTGACTGTTGCCATCCCAACACACGGAGCTAAGCCCCCTGCCCTGCCCTGTCCTGCCCGCCGCCGCCGCCCACCGCCCCTCACCCGCGCCCCTTTCTGCCCCCAGGACCTGCCCCAGCCCCAGGCCGCAAAGCCTCACAGGTACACACACACATATACAGACACACACCTGGGCCTAACAGAAGCAAAAGCAGACCGCTTTGCGAGTCGCCGGAACGGAAATAGTAGTAGTACAGTGTGCGCTGGGCGAGGAGGCGTGCGGTCGTGCGGTCCGTGAAGCCAAGTGATCAGGGGGGGATTCTTGTTTGCTTTGGAGAGTGCGCTGGAGTGTGTGGAGAGTTTTATCAAGAGGATGTGGAAGACGTATGCTGTAGTTTTGTGATGTGATTATAGTGGTGTGGCTCTCCGTTTCCCCAAACACAGGATTTTCTTAGACTTTGGGACTTTTCAAAATATCAGTGAGTGAAAGCATGGACATGAAGCAAATGATTGGTTGAAACAGACAGATGGGATGACATCACCTCGAAGGTCCTTAGCGTTCTGGCCAAGAGTGGGAGATCAGACTACTGCTTTAGAGGAGAGTGAAGACATGCCTTCCCGTAATATGAGTGTCGAGGAAGAGGCAGCAGCACACTCAGCACAAGAAAGGAATTCACGAGGATACAATGACCGCACACCAACAGAGGAAGGGAGTGAGCCAGAGAGTGAGGCTCACATCTACAATGTCGCTCCATTAGCCAGTGAGTTGTATCTCGCTTAAAATTAGCATGCAATATGAAGCTGCTTACCAAATGCTGTCAATTTCTTGATTTGGTCTTCGAGTTCTGTCTTTAGTTTTGGTAGAGCGCATTGGTTGGCAAGACGCAGGACAATGTCAACATCATTAATGTTTGTCTCTAGACGACCAGTATATAGAAATTGAATCATTGATTTGAATGCACTGTGGTTGATCTGCAAACATTTGAGGTATTAGGATATTGATTAATATTTCTTAATTTTAATTGGGAAAAGGCTTTACCACATACACTTACAAGTTGATGGCTGGTGTCAATAACTTTTCTATTCTTCCATCGGCCTTCAAATTTATTGCAAAAGAAACTGCTCCTTGCTGACAATATGCATTTATGAACATGGAACTTAGTTCCATGGACTATAAAAGTTACATCACTGTAAACACCTTCCAGGAGCCTGAAAAAAGATTTAAAAAATAGTATAAGTTTGATTAACTGCCTCAGATTGGCAAGTGCCACATTTATGTTGGATTAGGTAATTAGTACCTCCTTAGGAATTCATCATATAAATTCCGCCTCATGGTGTGACTAGTGACAACCTTGTAGTTCAACAAGATTTGACGTATGACATCATCCAAAGCACCATATACACATCTTTCACCATCAAATGTATTTGCTTCACAACGAGCTCCATTTGCTAAGAGGTATTCAACGACTTCTTTATGCCCACAGAGACAGGCATAATATCTAATTAATATGGATATATAACAGAAAAGTTTTAAGATGATTAGTATAGTATTTAGATGCATACTATAAATAGAATAGATAACTTTTCAAATATATAAATTAATTTCTTACAGTGGTGTGCTGTCCCATTGATCTCTAACATTCAAATCGACTTCTTTTTCCTGGACGAGGTACCTGCAACAATTTCTTGAAAATTATTGCAATTCTAAATGAACAATAAAAGACCTGAGCTAAAATGAAATAAAAATGAATGTTTCAGTGGAAGGTTAGTGTCACCTGCTCCTAACTGTAAGATAGTTTGAACTAACTGATCAATAGCTTGAGAATGTTGGTTGAAATATGTAAACATACGTATAAATCGAAATGCAAAAACTATACACCAGACTATGTCATATCAGGGTATTCTTTGAAGAATTGCGTCAAAAAGGATAAAACTTGACAACCTTCATGTTATTGTTTGGAAGAAAACAAACACTTACTGCACTTGTGATAAGTCCCCTTTCCGGCAGCAAAGTAAGAGTTCGTCTAGATCGCGTTTCTGGTTCATTTTAAATTTGTGACAAATAGATTACGATAAGTTCTAGAAGAAAGGAATTAAATCGATCTTGGGATGTTTTCCTTGAACTGCATATATCTGAAATGTCGTCTGCGCTGCGTCTCCAAAACAAGAAACAAAAAACAAGTACCAGTTTGACTAACTGTACAGAAAAAGAGGAGCAACCAAAACGAAAGGAACTGTTCAACCCAACAACAAATTTACCCGAATTTTCGCACGGTTACACAGTTTGAAGTTTAAGAGAGCTATTTTTTGAAGTTTTACATTGATGAGCAGTCATCAACTAGTACGCGGAGATCAGGTTGGCTATACGAGCGGGAGGGGGGCGAGGAAGAGGGAAATCAGGAAACCATGTCGGTCGTCGGAAAAGGCGTAGAGATTTAAATGTCGGATTGAGGATTTGAATCGTATCGCTCAGATAAACACAATAGTGTACCGATTATTCTGAGCAGTATTTTTTAAAAACTCTTCAGAAGTTTTAGAAATTCATTTTAAGTCTGGTATTTGTGGGAACAGCCAAAATGAGCTTATCAGGTAGCGTTTTTTTGTGATTTGGGTCATGACGACTAACAGACTAACCTTAGCAAATCATGCTTGAGAAAGATTGTTTTGCTTTTCGCTCCAAGTTCTTCTGCTCAAGATGACAGTTTGAAGTATTAGTAATTATTGTGATGTTATTGTCTTTGGAAAACACAAGGCCAATAGACCTAAGGATATCAAATCTTTAGACTGACAAAATTTGATTGCAGGGACATTGCAACTTTCATGATTGATGGCTAAAACCTCTGTTTTCCCCGCTATTTTTTCAGAGTTTACCACTATGCCGGAAAAACTGTTTAAAGTCATAATCATTGGCGATCCTACTGTGGGGAAGACATCATTTGTTCAGCGTTACGTCCAAAATGCTTTCAAGAGAGACTACAAAGGGACAGTTGGAGTTGACTTTGCCTTAAAGATTCTAAAATGGTCAGAAACACAAACTATCAAGTTGCAGCTGTGGGATATTGCAGGTACTAAATGTTTACCTTTATTTTCTGTGTTGAACATTGTCAAAGCTCTAATTTGTCTTTATTTCACATTGAAGGACAAGAAAGGTTTACTTGGATGACACGAGTCTACTATAAAGATGCCCACGGCTGTGTCATAATGTTTGATTTGGCAAACAAAAATTCTTTTGTTAATACTCTTAAATGGAAGCGAGATGTTGATTCAAAGTGCACTCTCCCTGATGGATCGCCTATACCATGCATGCTTCTGGCTAACAAGGTAAATGCTGTACTCTATTTTATGAAACAAAGTTTTGGTTTTTAATTTATACTTACTATCCTCTGTTATGTTCCTCTGTCGTTCCTTAAATTCCAGTGTGACCTAGCCCACCGTCAAGTTGATCAAATGGAAATTGAGACTTTCTATAAAGAGCACAACTTCATTGGTTGGACTGAAACATCTGCCAAGGAGGGTCTTATGGTCAATGATTCAATGAGGTAAGTCTGAGTTTTTTTGTTTGTTTTTTAAACTATCTGGAGCTTTAGAAAAGCCTGGTTACTAATATTCTGCTTTTCTCAGATTCCTAGTTGATGTCATGATGAGACATGAAGGAATGCAGGGGCTTGGTATGGCCAATGACAGCTTAAAGTTGACAGGCCCAGGACCTCAAGCTCCATCAAATTGCTCGTGTTGACCTTACATACTTACAAACTTTGTGGTCAGGATACCTCCAATTTTCTGAACCATGGGAGGACATATTATTTTATCCTTCTATATCATATCATGTTAAAATAGAATGTGTTGCCATATCTATCTTTATTGTTGTTTCTATAGTTCTAAGTAGAATGTGTATTCACATTCATTTAATTCAATTGTAATAATTTTGTTACTAAATGTTCCAATCTGAGGGACCAAAAGATCCTCTTTCAATATTTTGATACCAATATAATTCCATAAGATCTGAATTTTGTGAGAGGCGCATGTGTGCGTTAATTAGAGCTATTTTTTAATCTCTTTATCTCACCATTCCCAATTGTACTCATTCTTTACCCCTGTGATAAAGTTATTCTGTGATGTGCCATGTTTTGAGACTTCTATGTTTTGCCATATTTTCAATTAAAATTTATGTGAAAACCAATTGTCTGTCAATGTTAACAAAGCAAGATTCCAATATTTTTGTTAAAGTTGGATCTTTTAGAAAACAAAACTAAAGTAAAATCACTTTTGCCTGTGGCTTAACTGTTTGTTGTGAAAGGATTTAATCATGTTATGAATTTTGGGTGTATGACACTTGCCTTATACCTGTTCATTTTTGTCGGGCTATCTTCTTGTGACTGCACTGTGTGAGCCATCAGCTATGCTTTAAAAGGAAATTGAGATCAGTTACATGACCCATGTCTAGTCAAATAGAAGCAAACTATTGTTGTTTCCATGTTGAAATGAGACCTAGGTTATTAAATGTATAGTCTCTGAAGGATGACAACAACAATAATACACAAAGTAAGGAATTTTCTGTAACTTTAATACTTGTTTCAATTTTTTTACATCATGTGATATAGTTCTCTCTTCCCAACACCCTTGATGAGCACATAAGATGTCTGTCAGTCCAAAGTAGACTTGGATCTCATCAACAGGACTAAAAATCAACAACACTTTAATTGTAAGGTAAATCTGCAACAAATGGCCAGTGGCCGGACAAATTTCATAGGAAAATAAATTAGAATCAGTTTCTCATAGCGTTGAAATTATTGCTAGTTCATATTTATATAGTATCCTAGCCTGAATTGGTAAAATATTTGCATGTACTGTACAATATATATTCATATGAAATTTCATAAAAAATAATCTTTGTTCCCATCCAAAGGCAAACAAGAAATAGCAATCAAAGCATCTGCTTTACTAAAAAAATAAAAACTATTTTAAAATCTTACTTCCTAGCTCGTACCAAAAACAGTTTCTTTTAACCAACAACACCTCTATAGATCTTTGCTAATATTTTTTACAAGATATTAAAACAAAGATTTATTTTCACAAGTAAATGAATGTCTTATCACTGGATCTACTGCTTTGATATTATTATATGGCAGTTCCAAATAGCAGCCTTATGATTACAGGGTTATGGCTGGGAAAAACTACTTTGCTGCTGTGTTTTGGTTTAGAGTCTTCCTGCTTCTCAAGACATCCCTAAACGAAAGAAAAATGCAAGAAATTAAGGAATATCTGACCAACTATAATTGTATTTAATAAAGTTACAATGCAGTACACTTACTGGTCAGGATGTTGTTGAGTTACTTAAAATTAGATTATTAACAGGCATATGGACATCTTAATGTTCAATATGCTGCTGAATGCGATTTTCCCATTCAGCTATCAGAGCATTTTTTTTCCTAGTGCCTAAATTCTTCTAAAGTAAAAGTAAAATAAAT